TGGCATTGAGTGGGTTGATGGACGAGCCCCGTTTCCGCCGACTCATCAAGTTCCAGGCGCGCCGAAGAGAAGGCCTCGGTGGTAGCGACGTAGAGATTCTCACCGAAACAGCGCATGTCCTCATGTGCGACGACCCGCGATTGTCGTTCACTGCCTACCGAATGAGCATCCGCAGTGCCGACGACGTATTGCACCACGCGGCACTCGCTCGAGACCGGGATCCGAATGATGGCGGGCGCTGGGTGCTCGAAAAGTGTTACTCGGAGTTCGAGAAGTTCCGGAAGCTGCTCCTGAAGCATATTGAGCACTGGGAGAACAACGTCAACTATGAGTTTGCGCACCAAAAAACAAAGGAAATTGTTAAGGGCCACGGAGATACACGCACCATCTTCGCTGTCGTGTCAAATGCCCTACGCCGCGCCATCTCGCCGCAGTTCCCTAAGAAGCGTATCTGCGTGGATACTCCCAAGATCATTGCTGAGCGAGTCGAGGGCTTGACTGAGTTCGTGCGCAAGCTCATGGGCGTGTACATCGACCTGGGACTATATCTAAGTAACAACCAGCTGCACTCCAGCACCTTCGCCTCATCTTACGAGCTGCTCCATCATATGCAGACAGACATCGAGGAGTTCTTGAGAGTGCCGCAACTTCAGAAGGATGCGGAAATACGCCGGCAGTCGGCTGTGCTGGCACTTGAAAACTTCGACGAGTTACCAGGGGTGAACCATGACGACAATTCCGCTGAACCTGTGTGTTGCATTTGCCTGAACGAGGAGGACCCCACCGATTCCGAAAAAGCACCACTTGTGCAGCTTCCGTGCCACCATCACTTTCACGAGGACTGCGTCATCGACTGGTTCAGCGCCAGCACCACGTGCCCACTTTGCCGCCGCACAACGGCCAGCCGTACCGTATAACCGCATACCAATGTACTGTTAAACACTTCGTAGGCCTACGGGATGCATAAGTTAGCTGTAGCGCCGTCTTGCGTCGAACATCAAAGCAACTCCACTTGTCTGCAGAATTTACACTGCATCTGCGTCTTGGTACCGGATCGTAAAACAGTAATTGCCTTCTTGAAACACCGAAATATCCAGGCAGGGCGTCGCCAGAGATTTGCTCGCCGTCAACATTGCTTTGATCACGGAACTTTAGAGAACCCTCCGCCATCAACACCATTCTTCGACACTCCATCCGCAACGCTGAAGACACCGAAGACTACCAGCAAAAGAACGCCATGGCTGTATCCGTGATCGACAACAAACTACTCGCCTCAAGCGGTCTCATGGACGAACCCCGTTTTCGTCGATTGATCAAATTCCAGACGCGTCGTAGGGAGGCCTTGGTCGGCAGCGAACTGGAGATTCGCACTACGACCAGCTACGCCCTCATCTCTGAAGACAAACCCAAAGCTGGGTATACTGTTTACTGCATGCACATCCATCGAACTTCCGACAATCGCCGCGGCGACGACGATCAATGGGTGCTCAAGAAACGATACTCGGAGCTGGAAGCTTTCCGCCGACTGCTTTTCAAGCGCATCGAAGACTGGGAATACGCGGTTCGCAGGGAGTTCACCAACAAGACAGCCGTCGGCAAGCTTAAGACGTTTGCTGTCATCTCGAACGCAATGCGACGCGCTATTTCTCCGTCGTTCCCGAGGAAGCGCATGCGACCTAACAAGCCTGCGGTTATCAAGGAGCGCGTTGTGAGACTTCCGAACTTTGTGCGAAAGCTGCTTGGCGTGTACACAGATCTGGCAGTGTACAAGACTAACAGTCAACTGCAGGCCGGCGGCTTTGCTTCATCTTGGGCTCAGCTGTGTACGATTTTCTCCGAACTCGAGGCGTTCCTCGAGATCCCACAGCCTCAAAAAGACGCGGAGATCCAGCGACAGTCTGCTGTGTTGTCTCTGAGAGACTTCAACGATAGCACCGGCACAGTAGACGAAGATGTCTCGGATCAGTCGTGTTCTATTTGCCTTAACGAGGACCCAGTTGCAGACGAATCGAGGCCAGTGGTCGCATTACCTTGCGGACACCACTTCCATGAAGACTGCGTGATCGACTGGTTCAGTACGAGCCCCACATGCCCACTTTGCCGCCGTAGTTCTTATGCATGATTAACCGCACACAAAGAGCTCATGCGTGTAATAAGTCAAGTTGCCTGGTGTCAATAATGATGGTGGTCTCCACGAAAACTAACAGTCTAGTTAACATGCTCACGCCACTCGAGCAATAAGCTTTACCATTCCTCCCAGATATAGGCCGCTACTCCGCGCACGACATATGCCTCTTCCTCTGCGATCACCAAAGTTGTGTCCCTGGGAAACGATATACAAGACTTTATGCAGGATTTCGCTCCAACTGAGCGCAGCTACGAATAATTGCACTTGACGACAACGAACACCAGTACTAAGCTAGGTAACTACCACTTGATAGTCGAACAGGTCGACTTCCCTTCACTTCTCATCCACGTTGGTATCTGTGTGAATAAATCAACCTAGCGCACCATGCTCTTGGTGCTTCATCATAGAGTCCGATCTTCAAAGTGTTAAAATAGCAACGGTGAATGCGAGCGCAAGTTGGTATAATAGAGGTGCAATAAGCAGATTGTCAAGCTGGACGTGGACACGCATAGCATAATATGCTATTTGACACGATTGAAATACCTCTCAGCGACGCTGAGTCAGCGCAAACTGCACGACGTAACTTCCAGGGCCGTAGCATCACGATGCATCATGATGACCATGTGCCGGGATAGCGTTCAGAACAAGCTTAAAAAAAAAGAAGGACTGATCGCACTTCAGAATCGGCACACCGCAATTTGCAAAAAAAACCAACGAGCTGTTGTAGTCCAACTTATACAGTAACCAGCGGGATGCTGGCCACCACCGGGAGCTCGGGAGAGCTACTGCAAGTTCAACGGCAGCGTCCACGAGCATGGGTGCAAGTTGCAGCGAAGGGTTCTGTTGCACCCGAGTGATGGTCGGGCCTCTAGCTTAAGCTCTGTTGCTTCAAGAAACTTGGTTGCACTGCAGCAGCAAAGCTAGCATGGATAGTGCTGCAAGGCGATGACTCCACGCATGACCTTCCCCGTGTCGCCACAACTGATGATAACGGCGCTGTTCGGCTGGGAGTAAACACCACAACGAGTCAGCACCGAAAACATCTGCAGTTTTGATATGGCCGTTGAACGGCTTGGGGCCGTTCAAAAAAGGTTTTGGCATGCACGCATGCTAAAGACCCTCCGTCAAGCAGGACAAGACCACCTCAACTGCTGGCTGACACCACCGCCGCATGCCAGACCACATGCTGCTTTCCGAGGGCTGAAGTGTTGTGCCCCCCATCGTTGAACTTACCGCCTGATGTCGAGAGGCGGGAGGGGCGCGACGAACTGCAAGCAGTCGTTGTTCTGCTAGGTCCTACGGCACGACAAGCTTCACGACAGCTCGGTCGATTTCGCCTCCACACTCGTGCTTTACTTGGTTGCTGCATCTTTCTCCTACAAGGATTTCGCCAGCTAGATCACCACGAGAACCCCAACTCTAACACTGAGGCATTTTCTGAAGTTTGCTGACTGTCACAGTGCGCGTTTAACAAATCCGAGCGGACCAAGTGAATGTCATCCGGCGACGACTGCGAATCCATTTTGTTCGCGACGAAAATGTTGGCACACTTCGATATACATTAGAAAACTCATGCGTAGTGTCGTGATGCTGGAGCTCAACAGCTCAAGGTCCAGCACAAACTCACCGCCGCGGCACCGCAAAAGTTCGGAATGAAATTGTATACCTATTCCGAGTTTTGTCTTTGTTCTTCAGTTTCGTGGGTTGCGAGAAAGTGCACTGTGTTGAACTTTACCAAACTTCAGATTGAAGTTGGCAATAACGAGAACATCGCCGCCCTTGAAGTTGAGACCTCGCCTCGTCTGTACCCGTCGTCTGTGCGTCCCGGCGCTTTCATTTTCGATTCAGCGCTGCGGAGCTCCGTCCGCCACAGCTCCAGCTCCATAATACAAGAGTGGCAACATCCACCAACCATGCTCTCGCCCTCCGCCGTGCGGCCGCTCGTGCGCGCCAGTCCGACTTCGGTGGAGCTGCCCAAATTAAGGATCCCAATCGAGGCGGGTCGTCAACAGCAGGACCCAGGCCTCGGCTACGACAACACCCACCCTGGTGGATATCACATCGCACCACCGGTTCCAGTCAAGACGGAGGCATCCAGCGGAGCCACCATGCCGTCGCCACACGGACCCAATACACGATCACCTTCCTCACCATCGTCATTCTTCACTCAACCCGAGATTGCCAAGGTATGTCCGGCTACCGCCACAGTTGCTTTGCTAGTCATTTATCCAAAACCATCTTCGATCACTAGTGGTCATTGACAAGCATGTCCAAACGTGTCCTTGTACTGTCCGTCAATTGGATGGTGGTTGTATCCCGTACTACGAAGTCTTACTTACCTTATGTCTCCTCTGCTGTGATGAATGACAGCTCGGCCTGACACCACTACTTGAAGCCGCTGAGCAGATGCGTCCGTCGACTACTGAGACGTCGCCACCGATCTACGGTCGCTCCAGCCCACTCAAGCGTGAGCTCCCGCTACAGCAGGCGCTGCCCTCTATCATGCACGCCATGGGTGGCTACCCGCTCGAGACTTCGGCAATACCCAAGCGAGCTCGCATCGGCTCGGACGTCGGCCTCGACGTGCAAGCTTCGTATAGTCTGCTAGGCCACATGCCCCGCCAGGCCATGATCTACCCATCGTCCACCCCGCAGCAGGAGCCGCTCTACAACCAACAACATGTCGCCTCGTACGCGCCGACCACAGAAACTCAGAGCCCCAGCACTGCCGGATCAATCTCTTCGGGGTCGCGTGCATACTCAGGTGCCTCCGTCTGGGAGACCGTACTCACTACTGGTAAATTCCCGACAGACATTTGCCTCAGTGAGAACGCCACCACAGGCAGCGCGTCCCCGTCAACCCCATTTAACACCAACAAATCAAATAGTGAGGACGCCGCCGACACAATTGGAGCTGACTCCACTGGCGAGCTGAAGCAGGGTCGGTGGTCGGACGACGAAAAAGAGTATGCCAACGCTCTCATTCAAGCCGTGCAGAGAGGTGAGGTACTGTTGCCACCGAACGTGTCCCTGCGTAAATTCGTCGCCGACAACCTACAGTGCAAGACAATGCGGGTCAGCAAGAAGTTCCGCAGTCTGGGTGCGAGTCCCCGCGGCTCACCTAGCCGGGAAGACGAACCGGTAGCCCTGCGCAACGAGGTGTTTAACCCACTTAGCCTCAAGTCAATTATGAACAACGAGTCCAGCTCGTCTTCCTCCGATGTGCTCGACGTTGCTGAGACCATTGCCAACGCGAATCTTATCCGCCAGAGCCCCACTAGCAACAGCACCACGACGAAGAAGAAACCGACTCAGCGTGTGCTGAAGCGGTCAGACTACTCACAGCACGGCATGGTGCGCAGTGGTCGGTGGTCTGTGGAGGAGGAAAACTACGCCAAAGCCATGATTGAGGCGTTCAAGGCCGGATATCTCCCACTACACGGCAATGTGTCGCTGCGCAAGTTCCTGTCCGAGGTGCTCGTGTGCCACCCGATGCGCATCAGTAAGAAGTTCGTGGGCTACGTCCGCAAGTATCACTGGTACCGCATCGCTGCTGGCAAGTGCGATCCAGAAGCCAAGCGCCAGGCACTGTACCAGCTGAGCCACCTTGAACGCGTCTTCTGGACGTCGCTGCAACAGAACAGCGACTGGTCTGCCGGTCTCCGCCGTGACGACTAAAGAGGCGAATAAGCAGCAACGAAGCCGTCGCCCCAAGTATGGCAGGCGACAAGTGTATTTAAGGAGCGAGACCGATTGAAGGCAACGCCAAGCAGCGTGAAAGAACACCCTAGGTGGGAATGTAAGGTAGTAGTAGTTAAGCTAGTTGTAGCAGCGTCGATAACGACAGTCAATGTATGTGCGTGCATTTACTCCCATATTTTGTGATTTGAACTCGGATACAAAAATTAACGTTTCAGGATACCACCATCACTCTGGCATTTCAAGGCGCATCCCTCACAAAAATGCGTGTGGAATGGGCTCGGAGTTATCTGTTGCGAGGAAAAGCTGCGGCCTCCAGTCGACAATTCGATTCATCCCGCGCTGCGAAGGACCTACGCCCCTCTACCCGTAAACGCTCTCGCTCGCTGCCCCCGTTGTCTTTGATTGTGGGCGGTGGAGCCGCTGCATTGGCGCTGAACTCATCCCCCGAGAGCGTGCTGCGAGTGCGTAACATCGCGCACACCGGAGTGTTGGTCCTTCATGAGAGCGAAACTGTAAAATCTCTTGAAGATGCAGCAGCATTGGCGACACAGTGGAGGGAGATCCTAAGCCGTGGTGGTCTGGAGGCAGCGCAGGATGAGCTCGTGGAGCGTCTGCTCAGCTACATCTTGCGTCTCCAGGATGACGAGCAGAGCCAAAATACACTACGCTTCCTCATAAAGCAAGGAGTGTTGCCTCTACTGGTGCAGTATACTGCGTGGAGCAAACCCACAGACCCTACACGACTGCGACGTACGTGACTTTAAGCATTTTTCTCTACCAGTAATTTCATGCAGTCCACTGACTTATTCTATGGGGTTGTTTAGAATTGGTTCAAAGTTTCATCAAGTTGTTGGAAGTTGCTGCAATCAATGGAAAAGTGGAGCTATGGCTGTCATTGGTGACGGTATCCCAGGCTCTCGCTCATCTCATGGAGCAGGACGACGATATCGTGAGCTACGTGGATTTATTACAAATTGGTGAAGCTCTGATGAAGGTGCAGCAGTTGGCTCGTCAGAGGCTGGAAGAGGGGGCTGACGCGTCTCGAGCCTTTGTGGTGAATCGCTCGGACCTGGCCGATCCGGACTTTTCACGAGTGGCAGGAAGCTGTACTGCGCTGGTAAATTTGTGCTCTCCAGATATGCCTGATTCTATGAAGAAATTTGGATTGTGGGCGACGGGTGCCCTTGTGCAGGCGGTGAATCGAGAGGAATCGAGTGCTCTACATGCACGACAACTGGAGGCAGCTTTAGGACCTGTGCTTGCGACAACGATGCTTGCGTTGCCACGAGATGATAACACCATCGACTTGCACCTTCAAGCTGCCACAGTGGTTGACAGGTTACTCCATGTTGCTCGCCATAATCCCGCGGCTGTGACTCGTGAAACGTATGAACTTTGGATGGATCAAATACGCTATTGGACAGGAACGGAGGAGGTCGAGCCGGAGCCCCAACCCAACACACGATGGCTTCGACGAAGGTCTGGTCAAATTGACCAGAAGGAGGACCAGGAGACTATAAAACGGAGGCAAAAGCTACATCTTCAAATTCAGCTGACCAGTTCGCAATGTCTGCGTACACTGACGACATCTCCGCAGAGCCGTCGCTATGTGTGCGAGTCTTCAAGCACAAGAGCAGCTCTTTTTGAGCTGTCCCGCCAGATTCACGAGAAAAGGCAAAACATGGCGGACGCAGTTGACGAAGATGTGGCAAGGAACTTGATGAGCATCCAGCGGCATTTGTCATGGACATTTCGCAACCTTTGCACAGGGTTTCAGAGCGGTGCCATGGCGCTAGATTGCATGTTTAACGCGTGCTGGGCTGCATCTCTTCTGCAATCGCGTCGAGATTTACCAATGTCGCGCTTCTTTCGCGGGATAAATGATCTTACAGACTTGCCCATTATAGGAGCTGAAGAGTACGAAGCCAGCACTGAGTTCGGGTGGGTCGATATTTTAACTGGTTGGAGCGCTAGCTCGGATCATCAAGTGCGCGAGAACGCTATCTCTAGTCTCATCTTCCTGGCTGAACAGGATCGGCAGTCGTCAACCAACTTGATGTCCGACGAAGAGGAGGAAATCTGCAACAAGCAAGAGCATATTCTGCAGGCGTGGCTCACGAATATGCTCCAGCAAATCCGTTTACTCTCGGGTGGGGAGTTGCTTGCTGTGAAGCAAATGGAGGAGATCGCCCACGTATCGAAAGAACTTACTCCCGGCAACGAGCGGATTCTGTTCAACCCTGCAGTAGTCGACGCCGGCACGTCAGCTTTGGCTATATTAGCGGAGCACCATCACGCTGAGCTTGTACAGCAGGGTGTTGTTCCACTGGTGGCTTTGCTATCTGCTACTAGTGCTGCCACACCGGCGCTTCATACACAATGTGCTCGTGTACTAGCGAACCTGGTCGCAACGTATTGTCTCGACATCGACCCAAGAAGCTCAGCTCTTTCCACTGACCCTGCTCGAATTGTTACCAGCGATCACGTCGACATTGCCAAATTGCTAGAGCAAACGGCCTCTGGCAGGCAATTTCTTGGCAATATTCGCCGCTGGGGCCAATGCGATGACCCAATGCAACGCTCCAATTATTTCCGTGTCGCGCAGAACCTCCGTGCGTACGACGAAGTAGTGGCAACTGGCCGTCTGGTGAATGATGTATACTGTGAAGGCGTACACCCGATCGTCTCTAAAAACGAAGATGAATCCGTGGAGCAACCTACGGACGATGACAGCTCTGCCCCTCTGGTCGATGTGGTGTTCGTACACGGTTTACGTGGACACCCATTCGGTACATGGCGCACTGATATGAGCAACAAACTGGAGGGGAATAACGATATTTGGCCAGACGTGTTGCTTGGAAAGGACTTGAAGCGCAACAACGTGCCTGCGCGGTTAGTGACGCTAGGCTACGAAGCTGGCATGGTGAGCTGGTCCAGTCCGTGGCCTTCACTAACTCTACAGGAACGGGCACGTGTCATGCTTTCTGCTCTCTACGCTGCTAATATCGGTCGAGATCGTCGGCACTCAGGAGCACCCGCTCGACCTGTTGTCTTCGTTACCCACTCGATGGGTGGTTTACTGACCAAGAAGATGCTCTTGTTGGAGCGTGAACAGCGCGATCAGTCTGGACTGGCAGATAGCACGACGGGCGTTGTCTTCCTTGCCGTCCCTCACTTTGGCTCTGATCTAGCGAAGGGCGTACGGTCGGAATCTATTCGCAAATTGATCCAGGCACATCCAGCCATCGAAGACCTCGCAGCGGATCCACATGGACGTCTCGAGGACCTTAACAACAGCTTCAAGCAGCTAGGCATTGACTGCTTCAGTGTGGGCGAGGAACATGCTGCACCCGTGGCGCTCGGCCTCTCTGCTGTCGTCGTGAAGCCTGAATCGGCCGACCCAGGCATCGGTCGCTTCTACGTGTTGGCCGAGTCCGATCACATGACGATCTGTAAGGCTAAAAGCAGGAACGAGCCGCTGTACCAGGACATTCTCCAGTACGTTATTCAGCATGCCAGAGCGTAACTTGCTTGCATCGGATTCTGCTGTTTGTCACGAAAAAGTGGTTTAAAGCGCCAGCCACACGCGCTGCCCTCAGTACACGATGAGTAACACGATATAGAGCATACCTTTTGATCATGTCGGTTCAACACGACGACTAAAAAGCTCCTTATGCTATCTACACCTGTGAACGCTTACACCCCATCTTGTGGCCTGTGCTGCGATAAGCGGGTACGGTAAGGCTGGGCAAAGGCGTTCAGGGTTTATCTGCCGTAATGAAGTCGCAGTGGAATGGCTCATACGTCCAGATACACGCGCGTATTCTTCCATTTGAGAGCACCCTACCAGCTTCAGTGCTTGGTGCTCACTAGACCGTGACATCGTGTCGGTTGTTTTTGTGGCTCAATGGGCTGCACGAGCAGCAACATGCGTCGAACAGCATCACGACTAGACAAAGTCGAGGAGGCGATGCCTGCCTCACCGTCGATGTCTTCCTCACTTTCGGACGCGCCCCCGATACTGGAATCCCCCACCTCGACAACAGGTTATCGCGAGATGTCCGGGAAGCTGGCCACGCCACCTGCCGTGCAACCTCCGCGGCGTCATTTACACCGACGGCGACGACGCGAGCCGCACTTGGACCATCATCTAACAGACCGACTCGATATGCTCGCTCGATATCTGCAAAGGGCGTCGAAAATGGATTATCAGGAGGCCTTGCACACCCAAGCGCAGAGATCCATCGACGATCTCCTGGACAACATCCATAGCTTTTTCTCCGCCTATGAAGCCGAGAAGCGCCCGATGTGGCGTCTTGCACAGACCGGTCGACTGGTGCAACAAGTCGAGAGTTTTCATCGGACGTTGGACGCCATCACTGCTCGCTGTGGGTTAGCAGTAGTCGCTCCTGGCGGCGCTGGTCCGTCGTTGCCTCGTTGGCAGGCGCGTTGGCGTCGAATGCGTGCAGAGCGACTTGTGTTCTTCCGATCGTACCTGGAAGACCATGCGGCTGCCTCAGTATCGAACTCTCGGGTTCGTGAAACGACAGATCAGGTAGAGTTGCTCACGCTACTAAAGCATGAAGCACAAAAGTTCGACACAGTGCTAACGACGGACGAGTTGGAGCTGTTGGAGCGTACGTTTACGTTTGTTGCAGGTTGTTGCAACAACGTTATGAACTTGGAACCGCAGTTGCGCTTAATGCCATTGCCAGAGTGGTTTGTAGCTCCTTACGAAAGGACCAAGCAACAGATCAAGTGGCAGCGCGCAGCTGTGACAGTACAGAGGGCGCCACGGAGTATGACTTCGCAAGAATGCTTTACGTTGGCTAGTACGTGGTCTCGCTTGCATCACCCGCATATTATGAAACTATTCGGTGCCTGCCATGTAAGTCGAAGACGATTCTTTGTGGTGGCGGAAGGAACGCCACTGACTCGGTGCTTTGGTGACGACGGTTTCCCCCTATGGCGAGCATTACACGAGGCCGCATTGGCACTACGTTATCTGCATGAGCAACGTGTTGGGTTCGATTCTCTTTCGTGCTCTGATCTTATATTATTCCGCAGTGGAGATCGCGATGCTGTTATGCTTGCAGGGTTCAACCTCAAGCAGATGAAGTCCGCGTTAGAATCCTCTTCCATATTCGGCAGCAAGAGAACACAACTGGAAGAAGACCCTTTGCTAGAGGACGACGAGAGCGAAGCTGGCTACAACGATGTTGATATAGTTCACGAATCTCAATCGAGAGTGCGGGCAAAAAAGAATTGGCAGGCACCGGAGCTGGTGAACAGAGGTGCTGTCGGACCTACTGAAGCATCCGACGTATTCGCTCTAGGAATGTGCGTCATTGAAGCCTTTTCGGATGGAAATCTTTGGGGTAACGATACAGAAGTAGGTAAACGTACATCAAACAGCGAGTTACCACCGAGACCAGCCGCGTTGGATGCTTGGCAGTGGGCTTTGATAGAGCGTATGTGCTTCGTCGATCCCCAAAGCCGACCATCTCTCACGGAAGTCTTGGCGAGCTTTCAAGTATTCGCCGAAGACGAGGAAAAATCTAACTCAGACTTGTCTTCGACTAAGCGGAGAAAGAAGTATCGTCGCCATTCTCTACGTCAGACTCTGCCACGGGCAACTTCAGCTTCGATTGCGTCCGCTCTTAGCGAGGTTCATGCGTGGTGTGATGAGGCTCCCGAAAGTTCAGCTATGAATTACCAACTTTACGAGCGAATGGATGACATCGCCGCCCGATTAGAAGCGATGGACGCAGATAACGCTGTCTCGCATCTTCCGGTACTGGCAGCACTGATTCTTCGCTTTCGCAGCTTCTTACAACGACACATTAATGAGAACTCGCTACTGCGTCTTGCAGCTACTCGTCAGGTCATTGAAATGAACGCGGAGCTACATGGCGAACTGGACGTTCTGATGGACCGACTCCGGTTGAATCGCTCTGGTGCTTCTATTCACGCGTGGAGTTCCCAGCAAGCAGTGTACCGCGCACAGCTTTGGGAGCGTATGCGTCTGTCTTTGGCAATGGATACTCAAACATTAACCGGTGAGCTGGATGGTGAAGAAGAACTGTCGTTACTGGGCGCGTTGCTGGCTTTCGAAGCTAAGAAACGGAGAACAAGTTACGTCGATCAGGACATGGAGTTTTTGCAGACTGCTCTTGCGAGGGTGGAAGAGACGTACCAGCACTTGATGCCCGGGCCAACACCCGGCAAGTCAATGCTAGCCCTCCCACCATGGTTTGTCCCGCCGTATGAAGTGCTCTTTAACGAACTGGATGCTTTTCGTCGAGGATCATTCGGTTCCATCCACTTTGGTAAGTGGATGAACTTGAATGTGGTGGTCAAGAAAATACACACACCTGAAGATCCTGGGATAGTAATACCACCACGCAGTCGACAAGGTGGAAAATCCGACGCCAAGGAACCAACGGAAGATGTGTATCAACGTTTTCTCAACGACATGTCGGCCTGGTCAATGCTGAAACATCCGAATGTGCTGAAGTTGTTCGGAGCCTGCCACGTTGGCCAGCATCGATTCTACTTGTGTGAACATGCAGCTCAAGGAACTATCGACAGCTTCGTGGCATCGAAGCCTGAGAAGGATCGTGGCTCTTTAGCTCGGCGAATCCTGCACGATACAGCACTTGGATTGCACTATTTGCATACACAGAATATCGTACACGCAGATCTTAGGTGCAACAACATTCTCGTCGATGCACACGGTGTCGTCAAACTTACCGATTTTGGACTTAGCTCCCTCAAGAAAAGAAACTCGAGTGGTGCTACTACCAATAGAGATGAGCTCGGGTCCCGGTGGATGGCTCCGGAGTGTCTAAAGGGGGAAACACCAACACTTGCATCAAACGTGTACTCGTTTGCAATGTGTGCTATCGAAGTCGTGAGTGGAGAGTTGCCGTGGGGGTGGGAGATGACCGATGCTGCGGTTTGCTCTAAGGTTCGCAAGGGTCTAATACCACCACGTCCTGCGAATAGTTTCTCCGATTCTGAGTGGGCTCTTATCGAACGTATGTGCTGCTTTGATCTGAAGGAGCGGATAACTATGAGTGAGGTCGTTAGAATGCTAACTTAAGTATAAACCCTGCCAGGGGATCACGTCAAATAAACTGAAAAAACGTGAACAACGTGAAGTTGGAAAGCTCCAGCCTGCATCTTCCCTCATTGCAAAGCTTGGAAAAATGCGTAGACGAAGGGGGTATCAGGGAGCGTTACTACCAAAATTTTTGCTGAAGAGCTTTTCAGTTGGACATTGTTTTGCAATCCAGTGGCTTGGCCTATCATTTAGAGCATCCCCATCGCAAACACTGTAACCCCGTTTGACGAACAGCAAAACTTACGGCTATTGGTAAACCCAGGATACTGGCATGAGTCACCAAGAATTTTCAGTAAGATACGCCACGAAACGGGTGGCGGAGTTGAACCCGACAGCACTTGCCTTTTTTTTTTTTGATTTTTTTCGGGCGTTGCTTCACCGTCGGAATCCAAGTTGGATCGGAGTAAGAAAGATTGGATTCGAAGCCTCCTTTTGTTCTGACCCGCACTTTCCAATCTGCTCTTCAGCATCCAAGACGCAAGATATCTGCAATGCAAGTGACTGCACTCTTCACACTCGCTGCAGCATTGGTTTCATTCCTGACCCAGGCCGCCGTGACGGATACGCACCAATGCTACGTTGAGCCTGGTTTCGACTACGTCGCCAATGACATCGGCAACACGACGTCTTCGACTGCTGACGGTTGTTGCGCAAAGTGTGAAGCCACCACTGGTTGCAGGGCGTACTCCTGGACAGACTATAATGGCGGCACTTGCTGGCTCAAGAGAGGTCGCGGCACCATCGTCGTGAACTCTAACGTCCAGTCGGCTACTTTGCAGCCTCTTGAGAACCCCGACGGCACCGGAGGTTGCCAGCTGGACGAAGGTATCGACTATGTGGGGAACGACATCGGTAATGTGCGCATGCTCAAGCCACTAGGTTGCTGCAGTTCCTGCTTGCACTTCCCGGGTTGCCGCGCATTCACGTTCACTACATACAACGGCGGCACTTGCTGGCTCAAGAGCGCAAAGGGACCGATGGTGGTAAATCCTGAAGCTCGCTCCGCTCAGCCATATCTGGAAGCGCCCTCGTGTGGTCTCGAATATGACATCGATTACGTGGGCAACGACATCGGTAGCGCTTCAGCCAGTAAACCACAAGATTGCTGCGATGTGTGCTCCAGGAAGGACGGCTGCCGCGCGTTTTCGTGGACCGATCAGAATGGCGGCACCTGTTGGCTCAAGAATCGCAAGGACGGCACCATCTCCAAGAAAGGTGTCACTTCGGCTCAAGTCAAGGCCAATCCAGCGTCTCCAAGCTGTGCACTTGAACTGGATGTGGATTACAAGGGCAACGACATCGGAAATGCACCAAGCTCTGACCCGTACGCCTGTTGCTCCAAGTGCATGGCCAAGAGCGGTTGTAACGCTTTCTCGTGGTCGAACTACAATGGTGGGACATGCTGGTTCAAGAGTGCCAAGGGCGAGACAGAGAGTAAGGTTGGCGTGAAGTCCGCCATCGTCTAGACTCGATAGTCCATGGACTACAAGTTCTGCCAATTCCTTACCTCGCATGGTGCAATCATTTTTATACGAACATTTGAATTCGAGTAAAGCAATTTTAATTTCATTAAATTCTGATGGTCTCAGCTAATTTTTGCTCAATTTCGTTCGAAGATCTTCCAAAGTCACCAATGGCATTCTCATTGTTGTTACCCGTAATTTGGAGCTTCGCCATCGCAGTGCCCGAGGAATGCGTGGTTGAAAACGGGTTCGACTACATGGGCAACGACCTCTTCAGCCTCGCGTCGGTGGACGCGTTGGAGTGCTGCCATCAGTGCCAAAACTTCGCGGACGCTGGTTGTCGAGCGTATTCGTGGACGGATTATCAGGGTGGCACGTGTTGGCTCAAAACTGGGCGAGGTACTATTGCTGTCAATGCTAACGTTAAATCGGGGACCATTTCCACTTTCCGATTCGTGGAAACGTGTGTGCTTGAAGATGGAATCGATTACGAAGGGAACGACATCGCCAACGTCCAAGCGAACGACGCAGGAGAGTGTTGCAGTATATGTGAGCAAGTTCCTGGCTGTCGAGCATTTACATTTACTAAACACGGCGGAGGCACGTGTTGGTTGAAAAGTGCCAAAGGAAATATGGTGGTGGATCCAGGTGCTGTTTCGTCGCAGACGTACGTGGAGGAACCAACGTGTGGACTGGAAGACGGCGTCGAGTATGTGAGCAATAACATTGGAAGTGCACGTGCTAACGATAGGAAAGAGTGTTGCACGCTCTGCGAAGCATTTGGAGGTTGTCGCGCTTTCTCGTGGAGTGATTACCGAGGAGGAACGTGCTGGTTCAAAAACCGAAAAGACGAAGTTAGTTGGGAAGCGGGTGTCTACTCTGGACAACTTCTCTCGAATCCGGCAGCGCCTAGCTGTGCGCTAGAGCTCAATGTAGATTACTCGGGTATCAATATTGGCAACGCGTCAAGTGTAAATGCTTATGGCTGCTGTTCCATTTGCATGAAGAAGGCCGGCTGTGTAGCTTTCTCATGGACAGACTTGAATGGCGGCATTTGTTATCTCAAGAGCGAAAAGGGAAATGCGCGGCTATCAGACCGATTCATGTCATCTGTAGTGTAACCTCTCTGGTTCGTATAATACCGGTATATAATTTCATACCAAGAACACCAATAGATAGATATTCTAAGAGTATCATGATTATCATGTGATTATCCATCCACGATACGAATGCTGCTGTACTGGTCTTCAAAGTCGATAGGATACCAAGTTCTATCCTGTTCCGCACAACTGACGCTCTTCTTCAGAGTCGCCCAGTTACCTACGGATGCATCTGCGAAGATGGACATCTCTGCGTTATTTTGTGACAAAGGTGGAATACTTAAAAAGTTTGTTTGCTCTCCAGTAAATATTCTTTCAAGATCTCGGCAATATGGCGTCCCTGCAAGGGACAAAGGCGTGTTGGGCTCGTGGTCAATGATGGGATCAATCCACGACCACAAAAACGACAGGTTGTTGTAGCTTAGGTTTAAATCACCCAGTGACGAGGACAGCTTCGTTACATTTTCTGGAAGCTGAGTAATTAGAGTACCTCCAAAACTTAAGTACGCAACTGATTCCTCCTCGAAAAGTTGAGGGGGTAGTACCGATATGGGGTTCATTGAAAGCGACAAGTCAAACGGAGCAAGACGGACGAGAGATGCTGGAACCTCGTGTAACTGGCTTGCTTCGATGTAAATACTTCCAAACCGTGGCCATTTCATATCGATATCATCAGGAAACGAGCGCAGATTGGTGATACAAATTTCGATGTCTCCCAGGGATTGTGGGAAGTCTGGCGATTGAAGACCAGCAGGGAGTTCTCCAAGTGAAAAATTCACGCGAATCAAAAACAGCGTCATTAAGCTGGTCTGGTTTGTTTGTGTAAGAGCGGCGTTACTATCCCATGATGCAATCGTTGTGTTATACATCTTGATAGCGTTTAGACGGGAAAATGCTGTCAAAACCTCGGGAAGCTCAAGAGCAGGACAATGTCTCACTACGGTACGAGTTACGCTTTCCGGATCAAATCCAATCCATTGCTCCGTAACTTCCCGTTTCGTACCCCTAAGGTGCTTTTCGTGACAGTCCAGCACTAGCAACGAACACGATGGTTGTCCTGTAAACCATGGTCTCACTTTCATCCAGCATTGTGGGTATTGCTGGATGCTTTCAGCATATAGATGTAGCGTCAAAATTGTTATACCCCAAACGAAAAACACAAACTGAGATACTTTAAAAAGCAAATCTTTTGCTCGGTTTTTCTGCACAAGGTTCGCGTTTGGACCATTTCCAGAATACGGGGCAATCATTGTCGCTCGGTTACCTCGCGACTTGCCTGTGGTAATGCTGGTTCTTTTGGCTCGCTTTGCGCGCATAGCCATTTTCATGTTGTCCATGTCACCGAAAAGACTTACAGCAAAAATTAACCGAGTGAAGAGATCTCTCCAGGACGTCACCAAGATCATTTGAAACTCACTAAGTGCCTGGACAACCCATTCATCTTCATACCATTTCTGCACTGGAAAGCCATTCCGTTCGAAGTTGAAATCATTAATGTATGAAATCAGGAGCACGGTTGAGATACCTATCGAGGTAACAGTATCAAGAACACAATCACTTATGAGAGACCACACCCGGCGCTTTGTTGAGTTTTCATGGAACATGTTATGAACGAGAGCTATTGCCCAGCAATTTATAACGAGAAGTGCTACGTAACATCGATTGATTGCTATCCGAGGTAGTAGGAGACTCATGCGATATGCCTGGTGGGTCTGCAGAGCAGTCTCCACAACTTCTCTGATAAATAGTATCATGTCGAAGTACGGGCCGTCAACACCAAGCAGTCCATCTCGGGTGAAGAATGCCCGATACACGTCGTTTGAAATGCCTTTCGGGTGGACTGAGCGCGATCCCTTTCTGGCAGGAAGAAAGCGTAATAGAAAGCTGGGCAGTCGGAAAACGTTGTAAATGGCAAACACAAGCTGACGCTTCTTGAAAGACCATGAAATCATCCACACGAGGTACAGTCCGTGTATTATTGCTACGGTGCCCATAAACATTGCTATAGTCCGGTCGTATTGCGTTTCCATTCCAAGGTAATATAATGTTAACCATGCATCCAAGTGTGTATCAGGCAAGTTCCAATAGCACCAAGCCGTAAACCCGTAGTATACGAGGCCAGCCACATGAAGCAACACGAAGCAGGTCCAGCAGAAGCGAATCACGACGGGAGAAAATCTTTCTTCTTGAAATCCAACTCGTGCCTGAACCATCTTATCAAGCGCTGAAGGTCAACAATATCCGCTGTCGTCCATTTATACTTTTTTTTTTTTCCTGTTTATAGCTAGAATACGAAAATGAATCAGCTAGTAGCAACCGTTTTTATCTTATCACCCGATATTTATAATTACATAGAATCATCGATGTACTCTCCGAAAATGTAAATATCCTTCAAAGTCAGTTATGGCGTAGTCATTGTCCTGAATCATATTTTAAAGAGTTTGGAAAGTGTCTTCGAATGCCAACGCATATCGATAGAGGAATGATGGTTGGCAATTGACAGCATTTGCTATAAACGCCCTGTTCGCCTCGGACGACTGCATCAACATTGACATCGAATCTGCGTTAACACGTGAAGCCACTGCCGAAAACTCGGTCCGATTACCAGCAAAAATTTGCTCGCGCTCGGAGCAATACGGAGTCCCTGCTGCTGCAAGAGGTGGTGATACCGGATTTGCTATTCGTTGAAGCCACGGATCCATCCACGACGGAAACGACGAGATATTCGTACCACCCAAGTTGATACCGAGCAGAGGATTTATCAAAATCGGCACATCTTCCGGTAGGGCAGAAAGTTTTGTGCCAGCTAAATCCAAATACCACATTGCTTCCAGTTCAAACAGTTCCTTGGGGACACTCTCGATGGGAGTGTATGGCATCATAAGAACGGATGGCCGTATTCTCCAGAGTGAATCCGGAAATTCAGTGAACTGTGTCGTATCCAGGTGAATTGCAGAATAGCGAGGCCACTTTGTATGCAGATCATCTGGAAACACTCGTAGATTGGAAACGACAAAACCGATAATGTTTAGTGATGGTGGGAAGTTGGGTGAAAGTAACCCTGGAGGAAGTTCTCCATTGGTAACATTCACTCGCATGAACATTGCACCCTGCATCATAGGATGGTTGGCCTGGTTAATCGCTGCATCTTCGTTCCACTCGACAATTGTCGTGTTATACACCTTGAACGTTTTTAACGTTTGGAAGGTTGTAAACATTTGAGGCACCGTAAATCTTGGACAATTCCGAACTAGCAAGCATTTAACGGAATGTGCGTCAAACTGACTCCACTGATCTATAACCTGCTCAATCTCCCCATCAGTATCGTCTGTAATACAGTTCAACAGGACTAAAGAGCACGCAGGTTTTGAAACACCCCATGGACGGACTTGAACCAAACACTGTGGGAGCATCGGGTTGGTCTCTGCGTGGATATGCAGACCGAGAACGACCACTCCCCAGCAGAAAAATGCGAATCGCAACAATCTCGAGCTTGCGAGTCGTTCAGTCCACACAACTACAGTATGCGTCTGGCTTTCTGTCCGAGCAGTTTGCTTCTCGAATGGAGCGATCGTTGCGCCACGCGGGTTTGCGGGTGCTTCATGGTAGTTTTTGCTGGTGACTGCAGTCATCAGACCTTCCATCGTGTTCAAGTTGCTTAGCATACTCACTGCAAATACCATTCGAGTAGCTAGATCACTCCATGACAATATGAGAATAATGTTAAACTCGTTCATCGCGTTAACAAGCCATCTGTCTTGAAACCATCGCAAGATATTAAAGTTCCCAGTAGCGACGTCAAATTCCTGAGCATACGAGATAACGAGAAGTAATGGTATCCCAACGGAGGTCACTAGATCGAGAAGGCAGTCACTCAAAAGCGCAACTAATCGCATCTTGGTCTTGTTGTGTCGAAACATGTGATGTACCAGCGCAGTGGACCAACAATTCAACACAAGAAGAGCAACGTAGAAGCGATTTAGCCACAGCCGAGGAACATTTCGACTCATTCGGAGTCCTTGATTCGTTTGCAGCGTCGTCTCGATCGTTTCGCGACACAGTAGCAAAAAATCGTAGTAGGGCCCTTCAGCTCCGAAGAAGCCACGAAGGCCAAATAATGCAGAGAAACAACGGTAAAAGATTCCCCCGCTGCTTTCTCGCCTACGCTGACTTTTGTGCCGATTCCCACCCTGGTGATGGCGAGGAGAGCGTAAACTACTCCGAAAAGACAGCTTCTTGTTCCGAATTGATCTCGTTATCATCATTAGTGCTGATAATGCATGTAATGCCGCTATAACGCCGTGTGTAGCTGCAATAGTGCGAAAATTTTCAGACTTCATCCCAATCTGGTAGAAGTCCAGGAATGTCGTGACGGCCAGGCCAGGCATATTCCAGTAGGCAGCGCAGACGAGTCCAAAGAACAGTCCTCCAACGAGGTGTAGACTCAGTAGACCGACCCACCACAGTCGAATAGCAGTTGGTGTGAAGTGAATTTCCTCATCAGGTCGAACCAGCAAACTCAGGCGCGGGCCATTGCGCAAAGTTTCCATTGCTGCGTCGTGCCGCGGGAACTTAAATACTTGCGCTATTGCTTGCCAACTGGCCCAGACAATAATAGCTTTGCGACGACAACATTGATCCGATGATTCAAGTTGTAATTACTATTTATGGTCTATCGACTGGTGGTCAGAGCACCACGGGCCAAAGAAGAAAGCCCACCTCAAGTCAACGCGGCGCCACTAGCCAAACCTCTTAAGGCTGACAGCGGTAGGTTCGTTTCACGTGGCGGCTTCGAAGCTGCCACCCTCAAAACCCCTGCGCAATGGTTTCTCCCGTTTTCCTTCCTCATTCCACCAGTCTGTAAATGGATTTATGACGCTTAGACACCAAAAGCGGATTTATAGGTACCCAAGACACCAAAAGCGAATTTATGAATACCATGACACCAAAAAGTGAATTTATGGGTAGTGTACTCATAAACTCGCTTTTGGTGTTTAGGATAGACCTATAAGTTCGCTTTTGGTGTCTTGAGTACCTATAAGCTCGCTTTAGGTCACAATAAATTGAGCTTCCTGTAAATCCAAAAATAGAATGAACCAAAAATAACGGTGCGCTAAATCTCAGATTTTCCCTTTAGATTTTAATTGAGCTATCAGATATGATCCCATTTCTAAAAAAAATATTGATTTGATTCCATTTCTAAATTCTAACATCTGTGCCTACTACAGTACTAAAATAGATAGACGATCTGGAAACGGATAGGAATGTGTTATAATGGTCTCACTTTAGCTGGAAATCGCCTGATTCATTAACGTGGAGAAAATGTCGGGGAGAATCAAGTCTTTCTCGTCACAGTATGTGGATCTTTCACGATTGGGCTTCACGGTTTGGTGGACAGTTCTGCTTGTGGTGCACCTGCTGACAGGAGGATACAACGCAGCATTTGCACTGTTTTACCATGAACTCAAGCATACCTATCTGTACCTCTGCCTCGATTACTCAGGAATCGGGATGCCGGCGGAAAACCATGAGGTCATATCGCTTGTGAACGCAGTTATGGCCGCCATCCACGGTGGGTTCGTGCTACTGATGGTAGGGGGCTCGATTTGGCATCGGACATTAGTTTTTTCTCCTTGGGACACGAATAAAGGCCAAGACTATAGGACCAGCAAACTCAACTCGGCTGATAAGGCGGCAGGGCTAAAACCTAAAGCTGGAGGTGTCCCGCCAAAATCCCGACTAACTCGAGCTTATTCGAAGGTTTTAGGCCGGCGAGGGTTGGTCGGTGTCAATGGACGCAGCTTCCACACAATTCTTCTTGCTCGTGAGCTTGTGGAGACGGCACTACAGACCGTTCAAGCTTATCGGATGAGCTGGCTGCTACCAAGAGTGTTGCTAAATCGCTTCTATATGACGCTGATAGTGCTGAACTGTTGGTCGTCTGTCTTGGTATATTCTCTGCTCTTTAAGCGAAACGAGGCCCGGAAACGGTTCGCATATCTTGTCTGTGATTGTACATTGAACTTGGTTTCATCTATCGGTGTGCCGTTGATCGTTGTGCTTACGTATGTAGACCAGTACGATCCTGAGTTGACCGGTTTCCCTGTCGAGATGTGGTACGATGACGAGTGGTCCGCTCGCGTTCTAAACGAGTTTCAGATGATTCTCGTGGTTTCGTGGATGGACTTGGCAAGTCGAACTATTTTCTCGATCGGTGTGCTTTCTACCACCAACAACTTGAAAGATCTTCTGCGTAAAACATCGGGTGCCAGTTCAAGACGCATTATTGTGTGTGATGCCGAACCTGCCAAAATTCCAACTAACACAGAAGAATCAGCTAAAACATCTTCAGGAAAAGTGAAAACGCACCAGAATCCAAGGACACATAAAAGCAGTTTTGTCTTACACGCAGTCTACGGAATATTCGCACTGTGGGGGTTTGCGGTCATTGGAGTACATATACAATCGTCGGCGCAGCCAGAACAACCACAGTGCGTACTACAGGTACGTCCATGGGCTGTGTCAAGTCCAGCTTGCTATCTGGCAGTTCTTGATTGCCATCGCCTTGGCATTTCTGGCAAGAAAGATGAAGTCGAGGTCAAGTGGAACGAATTTGATCGGTCTACAGTCGTCACTTTGGTAATTCGCCACTGCCCATCGCTTGAAGTACCCGACACGATTTCAGATTTCCATATCACCACTGGCATTAAAGTGTACAACTCGACTATTAACGAGTGGGGGGAATCCGCAGCTGTCACAAATACTAACCACCCCGCGCTCATTTGGTTTTACTTTGTCCGTGTTCAAGTGAAGGATGGAGTTCTGCCAGATGGAATTCTATCGTCTGATTTTCCCGGCAATTTGTACGACCTCGAATTTACCTACACGAACATCCGAGAACTACCAGATGACCTAGATTCAAAGTGGCTGATTGGAACGACTGTGTATTTTGAATACAGCGAGTTGATCGGCGTGCCAGATTCATTAATTCGCCTTGAACCTTATAGTATCTCGCTGATAGGAAGCCCCATTACTGAATTGCCACCGGAAATCTTTGAGATCGCGGATTTGTGGTATATGTACATGGCGGGTATTCACATCGAAGAACTGCCTCGAGATGTCGTAAATCTTTCACCCAACTTGGTGTACGTGGTCTTGGCTGATACCAACGTTTCGTTCTTGTGGCCTTGGGTAGATACACTTGTGGAGATGTACCCTCCACTGTATTTGGGCGGGTCACAATACTGTGCTGATTTCGAGAAAATTATGAGCGGAGAAACCCAGACGTTTAGCGTATCATCGCCTGAATATTCGACAATGCTTATGGATCCATCGGAGGCGAACCGTGATTTTCTTTCTCGCACCGTCAACTGCGACGAAGGATACGGAATGACTGTTTACCCTGTTGGTTATGAGGATAGCATTAGCGCAATAGCATAATATTTCGATAAACAATGGTCTACATAATAAAACCTACAACGTCTTTCACGAATACAACATCATAAGCACCGAACAACTCATCTTTTTTTTGGGGGGTTGGGGGATTCTGTTGCATATCATACTATTGCACTATTAACATCTTCGAGGTCAACTGGGTAGAATGGAGCTACGAACGTCAGGTCACAGTTGACTGTGAGCAGATTTACATGCCAAATTTCCCCCGATGGATCCATTAGCATCGTCGAGTCTTCTGGTGATGGCAGCACACTAAAACTTGTGGCTTCGCCTCTCTCGAGACTTTCTACTTCCGCACAGTATGGTGACCCGCCTAAAAGCAAAGAAATCGCATTCATGTTCATTTCCCTCATCACCAGCGGGTCAATCCATGACCAAAAATATAAGATATTCGTGTTCCTGATATCCACACCAGCTAGCAATGGTGAAAGATTCGTGACGTAACGAGGGAGCTCGTTGATTAGAGTGTTAGCAATACCAAGGAGATGTAAATTAGCGATCTCGAATACTTCTGGTGGTAAATTAGTGATAGGATTGCCTGTCAGCGCCAGATAATTGGGGTTTAGGTTTGGTATTGCAAGTGGGACACGATTAAGTTGGCTGTACTCATTGTCCCAACCATCCAAATTGAGTCCAAATCGTCTGGTAGCTCCCGAAGATTCGAATAACAAATCTCAATATCGTACAGATTGTTGGGAAAATCGGCATCGTGAAGACCTGGAGGAAGAACACCGTCCGTCACGTTCACCCGAATCATGAAGAAGAAACCGAGTTCCGGGTGATTTGTATTCGTAATGGCCGCAGAAAAACCCCAACTATCAATCGTAGAATTGTACACCTTGATACCACTCGTTTGATGAAATTCGGTAATCATATCGGGTACTTCTAATGCTGGACAATGGCGCATAACCAGCGTGACAACACTGGATCTATCAAATTCACTCCATTTCGTCTTGACTTCGTCCATTTCACCGGATATACCCAGCCGGTGGCAATCAAGAACGGCCAAGTAACAAGCGGGTTTCGACACCGCCCACGGATGAACTTGTAATGTACATTGAGATAGTTTTGGTTGCAATGATGCTTGAATGTGTAGACCTAACACCAATACACCCCAGGCTGCAAAGAGCAAATGCACCGAATGGAGCATCATTCGACCACT